TCAAATGCCAGTCAGCGCATTCAAACCGAAAGAAAACACGCCCATGTAATGCGGAAAAGCGTTGGGAGACTCCACTGTACTTACACCCGCACTCTTGGATTATACAATAATAACTTTCTTCATTTTTTCTGGCGTGCCTCCGTTTCTAGTCCAACCTGCTGGCGTTGTTAATTATTAAAAACAAAAACAAAAAAATATATATAAGCATTATGTTGCTCGAAGCAATTTGCGCATTAAAAAGTTTAATTTACGGAATTGTAATGACAGACTATAAATAAGTATGCTTACACCCATTAAGCACGCCAGACCCGAAAAAGCAAAAGTATGGCAGAGAGTTTAATGTAATATTTGCGTGTTTATTAAACAAAAAGAAACAAAAATAGCTCAAGTAAGAATGCTCTAGTCGGGAGTAGTCGACTAGAAGCTACCCTGAACGCAGCAGCTGTTGCAAAAAATGCATTCCTGACTAACATTGGTGCTTAGAGTCCGATCCTTGTAAAATTCCCAGGCAAGTAAACGTGTAAAATATATTTTAATCGATGTCTAATATACGAAAATCCACATACCTAGTTTGGTGTGTTTAGCTCGTATATGTTATATAGTTTTTTTTTTATTGATACAATTAAATTGGTAAGGGATGTGGAAAAGAAGGCAAACTTGTATTGCGTATGGTATAGTATCTATATCTTGATAAGAGTGTATATTTGAATTTTCAACTCGATGCATTCACAGAGAAAGACCAACAGGCGGACATGTCTATATAGACTCAGCTCGTCTCCTGATGAGGAAAAAATATACTCTTCTGCTGCTTGTTACATACATTTGGACGAACGAGTATACCCTTTTACCAATTTTCAATGGATTAAGGGTATCAAATGTTGAAAAACTGGCCAAAGGCGGCAACTGCAGCTCAAAGCAAAACCCCAAAAACCTATTAAGTGTGCCCGGCCCTTTGGGCTGCAGTTATATACGAACTATAAGAAACTATTCAAAATATGTGTGTCATTTTATAGTTAAGGCCAACTAATGAGATTGCAGTCCGTTGCGCCAAAGGAACTTTCGTTTTTCAAGCCGTCATTTAAACAGGAAATTGTGTTTCGCTGAGGTTTTAGATTGTAGATCATTAGAACTCGCACTCTGTTGGCCATTAATAACTTGGTTGCGGGATCATTAAGATATAAGACAATTTTAAATGCTAATTATTGTTAAACTTCTGTCAAGGTTAGTTCGGGGATTAAGCTGAACTTCTGTCTAGTTTTTGCCAATAACAAATTTAAAAGAACTTCAATTTTAAATCTAAATTTACAATCTGCGAATACATTGTCGCTTTCAACACTTCGTTGACACACATCGCTTTTCGTCTAGTCATGTATAGGAACAGAAAAACAGAAAACATTTCCAGATACTTTCTGGGACGTATAAGTGTCTAGTAAAATGCCTGCGGACTTACACTTTTTCAAAACAAACGCACTTGGATCTTAAGATAGACAAGATTGTTGTCCAAGTCGTAAAACTTACAGTAACTTGTTTCAAGAGTAGAAAATAAAGGCTATTCGTATGAATTCTGAATTAAGTAGCTTTTCTTAGATAATCGCTACCATTGATTGTCGGATTAGGCGTATTCGCTGCATTGTGGCAAATATTTTGACAGCAAATACTTTAATTAATCATTATCAGTAATGCCGACCATTGGTAATTCCGCACATGATTAGTCGAATGTACATTTTTTGTGTACAATTCCAAACAGGAAATGTAAAAGGGGTCAAAGACCACAGACTTTGCTGTGCGTTGTGGATGTTTTGTTTATGCAGCTAATTGCAGTGGTTATATAAAGACTTTGTTTGGCTCTACCAAAGCAAGCAGGTTGAGTAGTATAAGGCACTTGTTTTCATGCCCTTTTAGAGGGTATTATCATTTTGTCATGAGTTGTGTAACCACATATGCTACTCCATAACGTATTTATATGCTTGTTTATTAACAAAAGCCGAGGTACAGTTGTCTGTTTAAGATTTTCGGCAAGAAATTTGATTAGGTCTATCATATAGATGCCATAAGAACACTCGGTCGAAGATTAAGTTTTTTGTACTTCTCGCATGCGAATTTTTTGTCTTTCAAAATATCTTAAACAACAAACTTGGCATTAACGAACTTTACCTGTTTCTTACATATGAACTAAGTCCGTGAAGCATCGGCGCACTTAATCTTATTGCTCTATGGAAAGAATGGTTCGAAAACAGAAAACCTTAGTTTATTTCCAGCTAACTCAGCACTTACAAGCTCGACTCATAATCTCCTCACCTATCTGCAAATTCTGTCAGGGTATTTAATATTTGGCTTGCAGATGCCAGCCGTTGTTACTTGTTTTATTTTATCATTATCTGCGCCTCTTATGAAACACACCATTTTATACATTTGTAGCTATAACCCGGCCCTATCATTACAGCTGCTGACGCTTGTGGCACCTGATTTGAAGATTTATAGATAAATATGCGCTGATTGTGCGGATAGGGCGTTAACTGGATTTCCGCAATTTGGCCGCCTTACATTAGCCACATTAACCAGCAGCAGATGCGGTCATTGGATGCGACTGGGTACGCTTCCGTGGGGCCCCAACCTTAAGTCCCATTTGGCCTCAACGACTTAATTAGTTGAGCGAGTGACGTTGCGACGTCTGTCATTCAGATATCAACAGCATGTGGCTAACTGGGCAACAGCTGACGGCAACTTGCGTCTCCCACACTTTCGCGTCTAGTACTTATTTCATGTTAAAATACCCTGTACACATCAAATAAAAAAAAAGGCATGAAGAAGAAACTGAACCAAGCAGCTAGCTTAAGCAATCTGCATAAAAGCTGAAAGCTTAACAGATATATGGGTAGCTTACATGTAGGGTATCTTACACTCTGGCAATTGCGATGAAAGCATGCCGACTTCTTTTTTTCTTTCTATCAAACGATTTAGTTTGTTGTAGTAGATACTCGCATTTTGACAAACACTAAAAGTATCTCACAGATACGTATGGGTATGTGCCTTAGCTTTTATATATGTGTATATGTATGTATATATATGTATGTATATATATATATATATATTTATGTATTTGTGTGCGTGAAAGAAAGTGTTGGCACTGGGCACGGGCTTAGGCACAGACAAGGTAACAAAGGTAACAACATTTTCACTTGCCTCATGTCGACGTCGCATTTTTAATGCTGCGCTGAAGATGCCTTAATAAAAAATGTAACAACTATGGGGGTTTAATGCCCTCCGCTCCAGGCCTAGGCCCAGACCCAGGCCCAGACCCCAGACGCCAGACGCCAGACGCCAGATACCGTGAGGCTTGCCCATGCCTGTTCCATTGTCATTGGCGTAGATGTTGATGTTAACTTGGCTGCTATGGATACAGATACAATTTGTTGATGTTGTTGTTGTCGATGTTGTTGTTAGCTGGCGAATTGTGTGGCGAATTTTGTGTAAATTTTTCCTATTTCAGTTCGTTTGCTGTGCATTATTATTGTTGTTTGCAGCTAATTATTCACATTTGGACATTTTCACTTTCATTTGTGTGAATTTCTACTGTCATTTGTTTGTTTGTTACACGTATTTCAAAACTTTTAATTGTTTGTCCATGCAAAAAGTTTCCAAAATGCCAGTCATATTTCGGCTTCCTGTGTAGATACATCTAATACACACGAGCACACACACACACGCACACACACAGGTGCCTTCAAAGAGATTTGAAATCTGCAATTGTTGCGGCTTTGTTTGATTGAGAAATCGCGTATGAAAATTGAAATATCTTCAGCTTCAGTTGCACTGTAATTGAATTAATTTGTTCGAATGGCTCTCAACTTCAAAGCGAAATATTCATCCTCAGCTTTCATAACTTTGAAGTCAGCTAGTTTTATTTAGTTTCATTTATCAATTTTTGGCACACATCCGGCGACCAAATGATCTGCTGCTCCATTCGTCTGACACTGCCAACTGCCGCATTAATTTTCCCCAAATTAACCTTGACCGGCTTCACAATGCCACTTCAACAAAAAATAAAAGAAGATATCTAGACGCGTTGTGCCCGTTTCTTCTGCTTTTAGTTCAGCAACAACAATCCTAAGATTTCCTAAAAAAAACCGTCTGCCGTTTGCCATTTGCCATTCTTGCAACGTGTGCTGTGGTATGTGGTACTACTTCCGAAAAGAAGTTGACCGCCCTAGAACAAAACAACACAAAAGTTTATTGTCCATTCAACTTCGGAGGCTTCACGCTTTTGTGCACAATTGTGCATGCAAGTGTCCAAGACCGAAAATAGTAGCCATTGTTTGGGTGAGACACTCGGTCGGGTCGGAAACAATAGAAAGAGACAAAACCAGCAAAGAACCAAAACGAAAGAGCTATCTATTCCTGCAATTTCTATCGAAATTTACATACTCTTGCACAGAGTCTAGCAATTGAGCAAAGCAATTTGTAATAAATATATTTTAATCATAAATAACATAGACAATAATTTTATTTTAAATGATGTACTGACCTATTTTATTTCGTTCATTTAAATATTATCTTAAATTAAATAAAAACATTTCCTTTCATTTATATATGAGCAGTATTCAAATCTTTTTCGCTTTTTGTTTCTATGGTGAACAAAAAAAAATTAAAAGCTTTGAAATTAATAATGAAAAATAAGTCTATGAATATAATATGTAAGAACATGAATATATATATAAGAACTAAATACAAATAAAGTTGAAGACGATCTGTGTTCGCATCATTAGCAGTAATTCATCGCATGTATCAAATAAAAAATATTGCATACTTTTAGGCAGTTTTCATATTTTTAAAAATCTAACAAAGCGCCATCTAGCGTTCGTTCTTGTGTGCTTGTCAGATACTCAGAAACTTTCATAAAATGCCAAGAAACGATGTTATTATTTAAAAAAAAATCGCCTGGCACATAAAACATATAAAATTTTAAGCTAGATATAACCATCATACTAAATATGTCTTACCTGCGTGGCTTTGGGCGCAAAATCTCATGATTGGCATCTGTTATGCATAGCGGACTTAGTGCGCCTGCCAAATGTGCCACACCCACGCGCTCCGTATCCCAATTGTGGCGAGTGGGCATTTTCTGGAACAGCTTCTTGTATTAAGTATTTAAAGGAAAGCCAGTTGCTGCATTTTGTTTGCCCTGCAATTAAGTGAAAAAATCAAAGAACATATTAAATATTGATTTCATTTGATCGACAGGCGCGGACATTCAGTGGGAAATCGAGACTGGAGTCCGGTCGGTTCTACAAATTAAGCAGGCACACCGAGTGCAATTAGCCGCTGCCAACGTCGTCTCCACTTCCTCTGCTCATAATAATTAAGCCAGCGTTGTCAGAGAAAGCCACAAAACAAAGTAGTCACCAGACGGTGGCAAAGACCCGAGTCTGTGATTGAGACACAGGAGCTAGCGGGGCAAACTGTAGCAGACAGGAGGCGGACGGAGGGAAGCGGGATTGGTAACATTGCGTGTTTTGCGTCATTGCCTTGAAAGTTGAACGTCTGTTGATCGTCTTGCTGCTCTATAAATGGTTACTTGTCTGGTGATCTGGCTGCAGGTGTCAGCCAAGAACTTTGGAGCCACATTGGCATGCAATCAATGCCGTTCGATTTCATTTCGTTGGAAATTGTTGCCGGGCATAATGCCAGATATTTCTGCTATAAATGTTTTGTATACCCAGCAAATCATACCAAAGCACACGAGGAATATTTCATTTCTGCACAAACAAAAAATACAAAGCAAGCTCTCAACTTTGATTAAGTTGAAAGAATTTCCAAAATGTAAATGAAAAAAAAAGTTTGTTTTTTATATTGATCAGGGCAGCAAAAAAATCAACTATTATTCGTGGTTCGGTTCACGGTGCAGACTAGCGCTGCCTTGCGTTCACTTCGGTTCTTGAACCTAGTTTTCCTCGATGCAAGTTTCTGGGTATCATGTTTTCAAAATTGCAAATCGTTAATATTTTCATAACCAAATGGGAATATATTTTTATGCTTAGCTATATGCAATGGTTGGGGCTATTTATTTCTGTTCCTCAAATGTTTATAAATGGGATCGCCTAAAGGTTCGCTCAATGGAAAAAATAAAATAGAATTCAGGATCCCAACCAGATGAGCTTAAAAATCGGCTTGCTCCCTACATATTTACAGTCATTTTTTATTCTTATGCTCTCTATAACCCATATATACTCAAAATTGTTCACTTATAATTGACTTTTATCTACAGGGAATCAGTGAGCCGAGCAGTCTCCATTGTAGCTGCCATACTTGTTGTGTGATGTAGCTAGTTTCTGTTATCGTTCCCGGTAAAAATGCTCAAGTTCAGGAAAAAAGCAGGGCTGCGTCTGCCTTCTGTTCTGTTTTCTATTGAACCGGCTGAGACGATCTTATCGGAAGTGCCCAAAGGGGACGTATGATAGGTTGTATGGTTGTGTAAGAGTGCGATGAGAATGCATTGTCTAGTCTTTATGGCAATCCAAACAGACTCTAAGCAGATGCCAATGTATCAGCCTTTCAGATATTGGTTAGCCATACGTTATTACTATCCACACTGCTCCATGATTAATGACTCGTGTTAGTCGCCTCCAATTGACCTTGTTGCCATACACAAAATTTCATAATTTGTGCCGAACTTCATTTTAGATTGTGCGGGCTTCCGCCGCTCGTGTGTCTGAAGAGCACTACTGGAGTTTACATTAACCTCGCTGTTCTTTTCTTCTTATTTGCCCAGCCTTTGACTCTGCGGCCCTTTAACAATATCAAAAATGTTGATTTTTGGGGTCAACTCTTCAGTCTTGGAGAGATTTCTTTTATAGTTTCTTATTGTTTGTTTATGTCTTCTTTTCTCACAGCACATCAATTAACTGTGCTGCTGGACAGTTGATAATCGAATGAACGTCGATCGATTAGCCCCATATAAATAGCAGGCTAAACTGCCGCTCCACGGATGGTGTTTGGCAGATTATGGCGCCCGGCGCGAGAGCTCTGTGAACTCCATTCTGGAGTCAGTGATATCAGTTTACCAAGTTTATGGTCTGCTAGCCGTTGCTATTGAAAGAATTTCCTTAAGTTTATATTTCGAGCTGCATTTTCAGTTGATAAACGAATGTGGTAAGACTACCAAGTATTTTGATTATTATATATTAAAAGATTATATTTCTTATGTTATTCAAATTCATGCGAGCATATACTATGGATAGAGTTTTATTCTACACACAAGACAATCTTTCCGAAATTATATGTAAATATGTATTATTAAAGGAAATATTTTTGTATTTTTTGAAATATATGCTTGTAAAAAAACCTAAAATGATTATTCTATAATCCTAAAATGTTTATTCTATTACCATTGCTTTTACATATCTCCCGCAGCAAACTGTCGTGTCAACATTGGAGTTTCAGCAACTTTTCAGCAGACTAAGAAGAATGTTCCTTATGGAGGCGACTTTAAAACAGATGTTGGGATTGCTTTAGAGCTAACGCAAGAGGCATTTGCTTACTGGACGCGGTGCAAAGCTCATCAGAGGAAATACTAGCTACTGGACCAGCAATCATTTCCGTATGCCCCAAAGTTGCACGCCGAGTTGTATTGACTTCTTTATTTATATCGGGCGTCACCCAGATGGCTTAAGTATAAGGCCTGAGTTTCAATTATCGTCCAATCATATCCCATTAGTAGTTGGTACGACTGTATTCCAAAGAGCAAAACTTTTAAAGGTCGTCTGCTGCCTCCTGGTTCAGCATTGCTGCATTTCGACGAGATCTAGAGGAACATTCAGACCCATACTTGAAAATACTTACACCTGAAGACATGGAAGATGCATATGTACTATTCCTGAACAAGGTTTACTCGGCAGCCCTAATTTCTGCGCCAACACGCCAACCAGAAACGCAAGACCACCGGTGAGACTTCCGCCAGCAATCTATGCATTACTGCTGATTAAGAGAAGTATTAGAAGGCAGTACTATCCTACCAGAGATCCACCTGTGTACGGGGTCTACCGCAGGGCTTCGAACCAGATCAAAAGCTGCTGGAGTTGCATAGACAAAGGGAAACCGACCGTTTCTTGGAAAATATTTCTCCAAATGAGTCTTCAAGTCACACCCTGTGGACACTGACGGGAAGGTATAAACAGAAAGTGACCCTAAATTTCCGATCAGAAAACCTGACGGATCAAGGGCCAGATCTCCAAAGGAGGGTACTGATGCTTTCGCCGAAGACTTGGAGGCTTCAAGCCTTTTAATACAAGCTCGGCAAGCATGAACAGAAGGATTCAACTCACACTGGAGAGCCCAGGTCAGTTAAGCCTTCCAGTTGCTCCTATCACTGACAAAAGTGTCAGATCACTTAGCAAGACCTAAGACTAGAAAAGCTCGTGGAAAGGCGAGGATATACATGATCCATAAGCCTGGAAAGAGCCTCTGTCGATGGATATAATTAAAGAAAAAATACCTCCCTTTCAGATCGGGTTCCGAAAATTTCATGGCACACCAGAACAGCTAAATAGGGTGGTGAATTTCATCCTCGAGGGTTTCGTAGCCAAAGAGTACATAGTGGCAGCATACTTAGACATAAAACAAGCCTTCCACAGAGTTTGGCATGATGGGGGAGGGATACATGTCCGGGAGTATTCTTGCGCGGTCAACTGGTGGCACACCACAACAGCCACAATACTTAGGGGTGCACTTAGACAGGCGCTTGAATTTTAACAAACACATCACAAGTGTTTCAGTAACCCTGAAGAAAAGACTGGGAAAACTAAGATGGCTTCTGAACAGTAGAAATGCGCTATCTTTGAAAAATAAAGTTACCAGCTATAAAATCTGGTATTCAGGTATTGCTGCAAAGTCCCGTCAAACGAAAATCAGGGTGTTTCAAGCAAAAACGCTCCGATATCTGTCTGGTGTCCCTGGTATATGAGAACTTCCGATTTGGAAAACGACCTACTGCCCAAATATAAATACACAAGCGGTAAATTACATAGCGCGACTGCAAAACCATCCTAATCGTCTGGCTAGGCGTCTTCTAAAAGGCGTAAAATTGGAGGAGTCCGAACGCGGAGGAGATTGCGAAAATCTCACCCAATCGATCTTCCAGATATTCATATAAATTTTTGTTACTCATAATTACAGAAATTTAATATTAAAAAAAAAAAAAAAATATTCTATAGTTTAAATATAAAATGTATTTTTCATGAATTTAAAGACCTTGATTTACATAAACTGGTCGTGAGGTGATTTAATCTAACTTGCTCCACTTAGTTATTTATCTACGCAAGCGCAGTTATTTTAAAATATTTTTTTTTTGCGAAACGTGCGAAATATTTGGCCAAATCTGATTGCAATGGTTTACCGCTAATGGAATCCGAGCTGACCGGCTTGTTTTTTATGTGCTTTATTGGCAGCTTTTTGCGGCTACCGCATTCCGAAGTGAAAGGCCAGAAAGTCAGAGAGTAGGAAGGTAGGGAGAGATACCGTGAAAGATATTTAAGCACACACGCACATGTGAGCAAGAAATTTCATAATTAATATGCCGCACATGGAACTAACTGTTTGCAGCTGGCATGCCACATTAATATGCAACAATGTGGAGAATTGACCAGGCGTTGGTGTTAAGCTTCGTTCTCTCTCTGTTCTAGCCGCATGGACGTGACACTAATGGATGCGGCCTTCTACGCCCTTAACAATAATTTAAATAATGAAACACTGTCCCTTTGATAAGCTCAGCTAAACTCGACGGACAGACGGACAAACGGACAGACCGACAGGCAGAGACAGTCTTTTAGTTGGCTTTATTCATTAATCATACTGAAGATTCATGCTGAAAATTTCAAATAATTTTCAAGCCTCTGGCGTTTGTGTGTTGGCTTTCTTGGTTTTCGGTTCGATTTCTAGTTATTACAAAGATTAATTGCGTTGCTTATGCAAATCGATTGTCATTAGCCATTATGGCCTGATGCGGTGGCAGTCGCGCAGCTACATGGTTTAAGATACAGATAGAGATTGGCGATTTGGTTTCCATTCGAGCGATGAGGCAATGAGCGAATCAGTTCTCTATCGAAACAATTTCATCGACATATT